GGGGGGGGGCGCTTCGTGTTGTTGGGGGTGGTGTCCTCCCCTCTCCTCCCCCCACAACAAATCAGATTAATGTTTTTTTTTGTTTTTGTGGAACAAGGAAGGTGAGAGAAACGCGGGGGGGGGGGGGGGGGGGGGGGGGGGGGGGGGGGGGGCGCACCCCCTGCACCTTCCCCCTAGATCCGCCACTGCTTGTATAATTTCACTGTTTTTTTTTGTGTTTTTTTTTAAAGACATTTGTTAATGCCGATATGAGTTATTGGAGAACAGAATTTTAATACGTTTCTTTCCCTGCTCGTTTTGTTTTTTAGTAAAACGATGGAAAAAAAGTACGTAGTGCCTTGTTATTCGCGAATGGGAAAATTTATGTTAGCACCACCCCTAAATAAGCGCAGTACCGAAAAGTCGATACTGCAGCAAATTCTTATTGTTAATTTACTTTTTTTTTTCGTAGGTTTGTCAGATGCTGGGCTGGCAAGGCAAAGGGGGGAGATTTGACATACTCCCATGGGTATTACAAGCCAATGGTGGACCACCAGAATACTTTGAAATCCCCAGAAATCTAGTCCTCGAAGTAAAAATTAAGCACCCAAAGTGAGTATATCATCTAACGGAACTCATTCATAACATGAAACTTATTTCAAAAGGCAAAAATCTCTCCTTTTGTCAGATATTCTTGGTTTGAAGAACTTGAGTTAAAGTGGTATGCTCTGCCAGCGGTCGCCAACATGATGCTGGACGCGGGAGGCCTGGAATTTACCGGTGCACCATTTAATGGATGGTAAGTTGAACAAATCACTCATTAAAGATTTTATGACCGTAAAATTCCGAAAATAAGCCCCGGGGCTTATATTTTTCAAAGGCCCTTTTTGAGGGCCTTATTTTTGGAGGGGCTTATATTCGGAGGGGCTTATGCACGACGGGTGATGTATTTTGTTCTATTCTTTTGACACCCATCATACGAACACCAAAATCTACCAAAAAATGTAAGTTTAAGTTTAAAAGAATCCTTTGTTTTGTGAAACGTTTAATGCCTATTTTATTTCCCGTGAATTGTGAAAGGAATGTTTTATTTTTTGTGAAACTGATGCAGAACTCCCTTTCCCACCGTAAAACTAAACTTCAAAGCAAATCGTTTACTTGTCGCCTAACGCACTTTAGGTACATGTTGACAGAGATTGGATCCCGTGATTTGGGAGATCAGCAGCGTTACAATATGTTAGAGGTGAGTGGATGAAGTATGACTCATGTGGAAACCTTGTTCCCGGTTTTTTCTCCTTCTTGTCCCCGGCCCAGACCGAGAGAGGGGGCCGAACCCGGGAAGCAGGTTTGCTTAGGTGACTCCTTCACAGAAAAGAGAAATGGACGGTATTTCCAACAAAAGAGTTTTAGGAAACTTTATATGGTTTTAGTTTTGTTCTGGAAAAGATTGTACGTTTCCAAATTTTGGGACATGAGTGTATTTAACTAAAGTATAACCTGGTTCCAGAATTTTCCTTTCTTCTTTCTTCTCAAACTAACTTGAGCCATAAATCGAGAGAAGTAAGAGGTTTCCCTCTTTTGCCTCTTTGCAGCTCACAGTCGTTTGTGAATGAAGAAGATAAATCTATGGGACCAGGATAAGGTGACAACAATTAGATACAATGATCGGGGTGAAAGGTCCTACATAGAAAAGGCTGCAAGTAACAAATAGAATGACTTGAGAATTAAGAGGGCTGACAAAGTTAAATGTACTCTCGTGTCTGTTTTTAATATTAGGTGGTAGCTAAGAACATTGGTCTGGATACCAAAAGTAACGCATCATTGTGGAAGGATTTTGCAATGGTGGAATTGAACTATGCCGTGATGTACAGTTTCCAGGTAAGACATTTAGGGTAGACGGCCAGATCAAATCCTTCGGGACATGCTTTACGTGTGTGTGATAACACAGGCTCTTGAAGCGTATTTTCGGGAACGGGGATTTGACCGAAGTACAGTACGGGATTCGGGAAAACGGAAAATTTCTTGACGGGATATAGGTTTTGACCGCTACTCGGGAAGCAGGATTCGCCAAAATCTCGGAAGGGGAAGCAGAATAGGGGAAAGAAAACCGTGCTCGCGATAGAGCTGACAGACATGGCTAATATATCTGATGATGGGTGTGTATTTTCTTTTGTTAGGAAGCTGGTGTTACTCTGGCTGATCACCACTCCACATCGGAGGCCTTCATAAAACATTTAAAAAAAGAAGTAAGTGTGTGTTTCTTTATGGTGGACGCGGGGTGGGTCGAGCTAGTGGGTTAGGGCTTGAAGAAACTACTAATCCCGACGGTCTTTGCGGCAAACAAAGGAGTAATTATATCCCGAATGATCACTGACATTTTGGTTTAGGGGGAAGGGGTGTGGCCCTCCCTCATTTAATTTGAGACATAAAGGTATGTGCTGGGCCCAAGGCAAATTGGGTATGGATTCTAGAAGGCGCAACTATTTTCTCCTTGAGAAGTGCAATTTGATCAGTTTGAATCCGCTGATTAGAAGCTCATGCGACGGAAACAGCGTGCGTGCTGCAACGTTCTAGTCTGAAATAGGTACCACAGGAAGCATGGTGCGCACCTGCACCCATATTTCCCAGATCTTTCCCATGGTGACCCAAATCGCAGAGGATTAGTCACCAACATACGAGTGATAACTACTTGCCGTAAAGAGTTTTCATTTTGATAATTCAATTGTAAATGACTCGATAATTACTTTGCCGTATGGATACATTGTGAATATCTAGTATGAATATCTATATCGAACAAATTGACATTTCCTCTTTTTGAACGAAAACCTCTATTACGCAAAAAATTGTCCAAGCTTTTTAACACTCCATAAGACGAACACCTCTCTAGACCGAAGCTAAGTGCTGGTATCAGAGGAGCCGTGTCGGTCCTAGAGAGAGTTGAATGTACGTTAATAATTGGATATCTGTTTTTCTAATATCCGTTTACTCAGTAATTAACCTCACCCTTTACGTTTCATTATAGATGAAACTGCGAGGTGGCTGTCCAGCGGATTGGGTGTGGATAGTTCCTCCAATGTCGGGTAGTGCTACCTCTGTCTTTCACCAGGTACGTTTGAAGTAAAAGCTAAAAAAAAACTGTAGGATTACTTTCTGACAAAGTTCTATTAGGAAAATATGTTGCCTTACTTATAACTTGTATCGTCATTCTTATTTTATTTTGCGTAGAAGATACTGTTTAATTGTGCTCTCATAGTAGGAGACCCTCGGGAACAATGCTAGCTATCCCCATTACACGTATAATGTGATCGATCTCTAAGCGGGACACCCTCGGGACAAGCTGTTGCTCCCCTCCTTACAAGTACGCAGCGACACGCAGCGTAATCTCTCTGATTCTTGAATTAGGCAGCGTATCTTGATATATTGTATTTTCTTTTCAGGAAATGCTGAATTATGCTTTAAAACCAAGCTACGAATACCAGGTAAATTGTCATTTCTTTTCTTATTAGATATGCCCAGAAGCATATCTGAAATGCCATATTTGCTATTTCATAACATCCGTGAAAGTGATGATTTTCTAAAAAAAAAAGTTTGCTATTGTTAACAGACTGATCCCTGGAAGGTTTATAATTTCACCGGACAGACCAAACGAAATATCTCTTTTAAGGCCTTGTGCAGGTAAGCGGGATGTAAAACGATTTTTAGTCAAGCCAAAGTAACTTTTGCAACCGCTGCCTTACGTCGCTTCATTAATCATCCTCGCAGGCCAAGGGAAGCTGATTTGGACGGAACAAAGAACGGGAAAGCTCTGGGTAATTAATCTTACCGAACTACTTTCATAAACTTGTGAGTCCAAGCTTCTGATTGCCCAGAATATTTTTTTTGGCCAAGCTTGGAAATTGAAGTTTCTGGTTCGGAAAGAAATATTAGGGCTCTCCCGTTATTATTAGAGACCTTTAGATTCTAAGACAAGGACCACTACGAGTACGAGATATTCTCAATAGTAAGTAGTGCGCGAGCTTGAACCAGCGTCATTTTGGCGGGAAAACGTGATACCCGTCGTCTTTCTACTACGAGTTTTGGCGAGGATGTCGTGGTGGCGGAAACAAGTTATCAAATGTTAGACCTTTTATCATTTGCGCCGAATCGAGAGGGGGTTTAACCTCTTTGAATAAAGATAACAGTGCTGATTTTTTTTTAATGAAAAACAAAAGTACAATGAAGCTTTCCGGGGGTTTCAATTTTTTTAGAGTACGTAGAAAAACTTTAAATCAAATCTCTTACTCGCAGTTGGTCTCGTTATCGAATCTAAAGGCTTCTGATCATATTGCAAACATATCGGCATAATTATTCCGTCCCCATCAGCTGACCATTAGTGTCTAAAGATGCTGTACGATTAGTTGCAAAATCTCCCGCCACTGTTGTATCATGTTAGTATCAGTTTCAGCCCTTGAATGTCCTTCGTTGGACGTAGGCCTTCCTTATTGACCTTCACTGATCCACGTTTTGCGCGACGCGTTGCCAGCGTTTTATGAAACCATCCAAGTCGTCCCTCTATCTCGTCCTTGGTAAAAAAAAAGAAAACTGACATAACGGAAGCTTTATATTATTTCTCTACAGAGGCATTCGTTGTGCTGTTTCTCTTATGAGAGAAATTTTGTCCAAACGTAAGAAGGCCACCATCCTGTTTGCTACTGAGACAGGCAGATCTGAGGGTTTTGCTCGAAATTTGGCCAAGCTGCTCTCATACACCTTCGATGTTAAGGTTTGTCAGTATTTGTACCTAAGCCGGCCGGACTTAAATCCTTTTTATATGATGTAAATCACAAGTTAACATGAGGTATATCTCTGTTGGTAACATATCAAGATTTAACAACGTATGAATTGTTTTGGAGTTTGAAAACAACAGCAATTACAATTAGCAATTGTAAAAGTTTTGTTAACTTAAATTATCCTCCCAGGTCAAACATGGGCGTCAGTTTTCTCCAACATAATATTGCACGCACCTTCCGCGTGATAGTAAGATAATGGAGATTACGTTCGCGGGAATAAAATGTTTGGGGCCTGACTCAGACTCATTTTAGCCCGAGCCGCCACGCGTGCTATTTCATGTTAAATCTTGCCGTTAGTTTTTCCTTTTTTTTTTAAATACTCGCTTTCGCGCATGCCTTGCGCTTGCATTGACCTATGTGATTGATCCCTTAAAATTCCTAAAACATGGTTATCAGGTTTGCTGTATGGATGATTACAAGCATGGCCAGCTCTCCCAAGAAAGTCTTTTGTTCGTGGTGGCGAGTACCTTTGGCAACGGAGAACCCCCAGAAAACGGGACAAGCTTTTCTGATTCCCTAGAAAGTATGAAGAAAAGCGCCGATGCCAGACCCCTAAAAAATCTCAGGTAAGCACAGCTTTGTTCCTGACGACTGATCCTCTGGAACCTAGGGGCAGTCAGTCGGGTCGGGAGAAAACGCTCGAAGAAAGTCTTCAAGCACAGGCGAAAGAGCCCCTTGGTACCGACTCTCACCATACCAATTCCAAATGGTCAAGCGAGTGATGGCTCCTGATCGGGCACAAAAATTGTTTGTGTCATTGTTCCCAATCGGCGAACAGAATCTCCTGAGTTCTTTTCGTCTGTTCGTACGCGATGGCTATTGTCTTGCCATTCTTGTCCGGTTCGTTCACCAAAGTCCTCTCGATTTAGTTCACCGCATTGGAAAACTCTTTCAAGTAAAAGTATTTCCAACAAAAGAGTTTTAGGAAACTTTATATGGTTTTAGTTTTGTTCTGGAAAAGATTGTACGTTTCCAAATTTTGGGACATGAGTGTATTTAACTAAAGTATAACCTGGTTCCAGAATTTTCCTTTCTTCTTTCTTCTCAAACTAACTTGAGCCCTAAAGCGAGAGAAGTAAAAGGTCTCCCTTTTTTGCCGGCTTGTAGCTCAAGGTCAATTGAGAATGAAGAAAATAAACTCCGAGTGGGACCAGGATAAGGTGACAACAATGAGATACAATGATCGTGGCAAAAGGTCCTACATAGAAAAGGCTGCAAGTAACAAATTGAGAGGGTTGACAAAGTTAAATGTACTCTCATGTCTGTTTTTAATATTAGGTGGTAGCTAAGAACATTGGTCTGGATACCAAAAGTAACGCATCATTGTGGAAGGATTTTGCGATGGTGGAATTGAACTATGCCGTGATGTACAGTTTCCAGGTAAGATTCAGCTGAAGATTATTTAGGATAGACGGCTAGATCAAATCCTTGCTTCTGAACATGTTCTACGTGTGTGTGTGTGTGTGATTACATAGCGTCTGGAAGGGTATTCTCGGGACCCGGGATTAGACTAACATACAGTGCGGGATTCTGGAAAACGCAAAATATTTTGATGGGATACGGGATTTGACTGCTACTCGGGAAGCGAGATTCGCCAAAATCGTGGAAAAGGATGCGGATTTGGGAAAGAAAACCGTATTCGGGGTAGAGATGGCAGATGTTCGGGTTGCGGGATCGTCGTGAGAAAGGAGCGGGAATGCGGGATCATGGACTCCCCTTCCAGACTCTGTTCACGCGGTTAATGTATCTGATGATGGGTGTTTATTTTCGTTTGTTAGGAAGCTGGTGTTACTCTGGCTGATCACCATTCCACATCGGAGGCCTTCATAAAACATTTAAAAAAAGAAGTAAGTGTATGTTTCTTTATGGTGGACGCGGGGCGGGTCGAGCTAGTAGGTTAGGGCTTGAAGAAACTACTGATCCCGACGGCCTTTGCGGCAAACAAAGGAGTAATTATATCCCGAATGATCACTGACCTTGTGGTTTAGGGGGGAAGGGTGTGGCCCTCCTTCATTTGAGACATAAAAGTATCTGCGGCGCCGAAGGCAAATTGGGTATGGATTCTAGAAGGCGCAACTATTTTCTCTTATTTGTCCTTGAAAAGTGCAATTTGATCAGTTTGAATCCGCTGATTGGTAGCTCATGTGATGGAAACAGCGTGCATGCTGCAACGTTCTAGTCTGAAATAGGTATCACAGGAAGCATGGCGCGCACCTGCACCCACATTTCCCAGATCTTTCCCATGGTGACCCAAATCGCAGAGGATTAGTCACCAACATACGAGTGATAGCTACTTGCCGTAAAGAGTTTTTATTTTGGTAATTCAATTGTAAATGACTCGATAATTACTTTGCCGTATGAATACATTGTGAACATCTAGTATGAATATCTATATAGAACAAATTGACATTTCCTCTTTTTGAACGAACACCTCTATTACGCAGACACTGACGTAAAAAATTGTCCATGCTTTTTAACACTCCATAAGACGAACACCTCTCTAGACCGAAGCTAAGTGCTGGTATCAGAGGAGCCGTGTCGGTCCTAGAGAGAGTTGAATGTACATTAGTAATTGGATATCTGTTTTTCTAATATCCGTTTACCCAGTAATTAACCTCACCCTTTACGTTTCATTATAGATGAAACTGCGAGGTGGCTGTCCAGCGGATTGGGTGTGGATAGTTCCTCCAATGTCGGGTAGTGCTACCTCTGTCTTTCACCAGGTACGTTTGAAGTAAAAGCTAAAAAAAAACTGTAGGATTACTTTCTGACAAAGTTCTATTAGGAAAATATGTTGCCTTACTTATAACTTGTATCGTCATTCTTATTTTATTTTGCGTAGAAGATACTGTTTAATTGTGCTCTCATAGTAGGAGACCCTCGGGAACAATGCTAGCTATCCCCATTACACGTATAATGTGATCGATCTCTAAGCGGGACACCCTCGGGACAAGCTGTTGCTCCCCTCCTTACAAGTACGCAGCGACACGCAGCGTAATCTCTCTGATTCTTGAATTAGGCAGCGTATCTTGATATATTGTATTTTCTTTTCAGGAAATGCTGAATTATGCTTTAAAACCAAGCTACGAATACCAGGTAAATTGTCATTTCTTTTCTTATTAGATATGCCCAGAAGCATATCTGAAATGCCATATTTGCTATTTCATAACATCCGTGAAAGTGATGATTTTCTAAAAAAAAAAGTTTGCTATTGTTAACAGACTGATCCCTGGAAGGTTTATAATTTCACCGGACAGACCAAACGAAATATCTCTTTTAAGGCCTTGTGCAGGTAAGCGGGATGTAAAACGATTTTTAGTCAAGCCAAAGTAACTTTTGCAACCGCTGCCTTACGTCGCTTCATTAATCATCCTCGCAGGCCAAGGGAAGCTGATTTGGACGGAACAAAGAACGGGAAAGCTCTGGGTAATTAATCTTACCGAACTACTTTCATAAACTTGTGAGTCCAAGCTTCTGATTGCCCAGAATATTTTTTTTGGCCAAGCTTGGAAATTGAAGTTTCTGGTTCGGAAAGAAATATTAGGGCTCTCCCGTTATTATTAGAGACCTTTAGATTCTAAGACAAGGACCACTACGAGTACGAGATATTCTCAATAGTAAGTAGTGCGCGAGCTTGAACCAGCGTCATTTTGGCGGGAAAACGTGATACCCGTCGTCTTTCTACTACGAGTTTTGGCGAGGATGTCGTGGTGGCGGAAACAAGTTATCAAATGTTAGACCTTTTATCATTTGCGCCGAATCGAGAGGGGGTTTAACCTCTTTGAATAAAGATAACAGTGCTGATTTTTTTTTAATGAAAAACAAAAGTACAATGAAGCTTTCCGGGGGTTTCAATTTTTTTAGAGTACGTAGAAAAACTTTAAATCAAATCTCTTACTCGCAGTTGGTCTCGTTATCGAATCTAAAGGCTTCTGATCATATTGCAAACATATCGGCATAATTATTCCGTCCCCATCAGCTGACCATTAGTGTCTAAAGATGCTGTACGATTAGTTGCAAAATCTCCCGCCACTGTTGTATCATGTTAGTATCAGTTTCAGCCCTTGAATGTCCTTCGTTGGACGTAGGCCTTCCTTATTGACCTTCACTGATCCACGTTTTGCGCGACGCGTTGCCAGCGTTTTATGAAACCATCCAAGTCGTCCCTCTATCTCGTCCTTGGTAAAAAAAAAGAAAACTGACATAACGGAAGCTTTATATTATTTCTCTACAGAGGCATTCGTTGTGCTGTTTCTCTTATGAGAGAAATTTTGTCCAAACGTAAGAAGGCCACCATCCTGTTTGCTACTGAGACAGGCAGATCTGAGGGTTTTGCTCGAAATTTGGCCAAGCTGCTCTCATACACCTTCGATGTTAAGGTTTGTCAGTATTTGTACCTAAGCCGGCCGGACTTAAATCCTTTTTATATGATGTAAATCACAAGTTAACATGAGGTATATCTCTGTTGGTAACATATCAAGATTTAACAACGTATGAATTGTTTTGGAGTTTGAAAACAACAGCAATTACAATTAGCAATTGTAAAAGTTTTGTTAACTTAAATTATCCTCCCAGGTCAAACATGGGCGTCAGTTTTCTCCAACATAATATTGCACGCACCTTCCGCGTGATAGTAAGATAATGGAGATTACGTTCGCGGGAATAAAATGTTTGGGGCCTGACTCAGACTCATTTTAGCCCGAGCCGCCACGCGTGCTATTTCATGTTAAATCTTGCCGTTAGTTTTTCCTTTTTTTTTTAAATACTCGCTTTCGCGCATGCCTTGCGCTTGCATTGACCTATGTGATTGATCCCTTAAAATTCCTAAAACATGGTTATCAGGTTTGCTGTATGGATGATTACAAGCATGGCCAGCTCTCCCAAGAAAGTCTTTTGTTCGTGGTGGCGAGTACCTTTGGCAACGGAGAACCCCCAGAAAACGGGACAAGCTTTTCTGATTCCCTAGAAAGTATGAAGAAAAGCGCCGATGCCAGACCCCTAAAAAATCTCAGGTAAGCACAGCTTTGTTCCTGACGACTGATCCTCTGGAACCTAGGGGCAGTCAGTCGGGTCGGGAGAAAACGCTCGAAGAAAGTCTTCAAGCACAGGCGAAAGAGCCCCTTGGTACCGACTCTCACCATACCAATTCCAAATGGTCAAGCGAGTGATGGCTCCTGATCGGGCACAAAAATTGTTTGTGTCATTGTTCCCAATCGGCGAACAGAATCTCCTGAGTTCTTTTCGTCTGTTCGTACGCGATGGCTATTGTCTTGCCATTCTTGTCCGGTTCGTTCACCAAAGTCCTCTCGATTTAGTTCACCGCATTGGAAAACTCTTTCAAGTAAAGGCCTTTTTACCCTTGCTATACCGAGTAATTCTGATGGTATTTTGGCAGTAAACAAGAATTGATGAGGGAAGAACGGTGTAGGCAATTGTGCTTGTCATTTTTCCAGTCATTTACCAATGCATTCGAAGTAAAAGGTGAAAATGTGATGCGTGCTCGCTTTGTTTTTGTAGATATTCAGTATTCGGACTTGGATCCAGACTCTATAGTAATTTCTGTGCCTTTGGTCACTTTGTGGATGATCATCTACGGCAGCTTGGGGCTCAGCCTATTTTGCCTATGGGGGAGGGGGACGAGTTGAGTGGTCAGGAGGAGTCGTTCCTAGAGTGGGCCAGGAACGCATTCAAGGTAAAACTAGTAACAAATCCACATTTTCTTGACTATTTTGCCCTTATCTTGGAGAAAATTGGTTCAATTTGGGTTTTGGTTATTCCTTTGCTTTTTAATGTTTCTTGCTGTTTTCTAGCACAAATTTCTTTTCATGCTAGACCATTGTGTGGTCTTAACAGATGTACGTATTATCAGGCAGATTAAGCGAAAAAAAAAACCCGCGACGACAGTAATGACGGCGCGCGCAGATCTAAGAATTTAAACCAATGATAGTGCGGCAAATAGGCCATTTACACGATAACGTCTTTTTACTAATACAATGACGTCATCGTGTAAATGGCCCATTCATAATTGACTACCAAAAATCGCAATCAGTCCTTCCGCGCACTTTCGTATTCCCCTGTCATGTGACGTCACGACGAGTTTGCTAAATATGGTTATACACCAAGGTATCAAAACCCCTGCGCAATCACTGCGATTGCCTCTGCGACCACTCATTGTTAAAAGAACATTAAAGGTGAGTTAGTAATACTGTCTTATTTCAGGCGGCTTGTGATTCGTTTGGCGTGAAGGTAGAAGCCGCGAATAAAGTGGTCAGTGAATCACTGAAAAACATGGCTACCGGGTGGAGTCCAGGCCACTATCGCTGGGTAGAAGACCAGCGGAAAGCTATGGACCCCTGCGCAAGTAAGTTAATGAGAGTACGCTATATAAAACTAGCCCCCAAACGTAAGACGTTCTCTCAGCTGAACAAGTAGGAGCCGAAAGAACGTGCGTTTCATCTCGACGTTAACAATGTTCTTCCATATTCTCGGTTAAAAACCGCGCTATAACGGTGTATACCCAGACCTATCTAATCAACTTTTTATGAGTTAGCACTGTGTGCAAGGAAACTGTGTGTTGACTGTTGAAAAATAGTATATGACTGCAGATGTGTGGATTCACAACGGCACTACGGTAAAATAAGCTTACGACACTTCTGAGCCACAAAGCCTAATCAAGATATTGTGTATTTAAAGCAGTTACTCAGCAGCGGTGTTGAAGTAAATCCTACTCATGTTATATTGTTTTGTATTCTAGATCTTTCCAAGGCATATAACAAGAAAGTTTGCCCTGCAAAAGTTATTTCAGTGAGTGAACTTCAGTCCAAGAAATCCAGGTATAAACTGACTTCCCGATGGTTATTTTGCTGCGGGGATACAGAGGGTGCTCTCTGCGGATCAATTTAAGTTTATGAGAAACTGCCCACCTATCGTTCTTCTAAGCCAACATTTTG